AGTACTATATGTTGTTGCCCCATTTTTAAGAAGAAAAAAAACCGTTTTTAAAATACAAAACATCCTAAGGTGTATATTTTCATGTCAGTAATGACTGTTTATCAATATATCAGTCACTTTGTCAAATATAGACAAGAACAATGTTATTTCAAAAGAAGAAAGTAAACTTTTTGTGTCATTCTGTTAGAAAAAGCCGATTGCAAGAATAATATTTATATAATTCATGTCAGAGATAAACGCAGTGCAATGATCGAAAGCTTGAATATAGAAAAGAGAGCACAGATAAGTGGTAGCAAGGGTAAAAGAGCTGAATTTGATACGTTTTTAAATTTACTTGAGTTTAACTGAATTTAGCTGAGTTTAGCTGAATTTAACTAATTTTTATTGACTTCGACTGATTTCAAATCGATTACATTCCCTTATAGTAACTGTCATGCATCTGAAGAACTACAGAAAGAGCAGAAAGTCGCTGACTTTAGTGATTTATTAATACAGACGAAGATATAAGGTGATAGAAAAGAACCTTTCTCTATTTTTCACTCATCTGCATGACGCGAGATAAACGATCTGAGGATAGAGTTTTGTTTTCGTTAGTTAGCATCCAGCAGGCTGACTGTTTATGTAGATACTAAACTTTATCATTGATTTTAACCTTGAAATATGAATCTTTCTGCCCATCAGCAACCTGCTCTCGTATTCTTAGTCCTTGAAGGTTCGTCTTTGTTATCTTCGTTATCATCCCCTAGATCGAATTCAGAATCGATTTTGGATGAATTATCATTATCCATTTTTGAATTGTCAGCAAGCTTTGATTTTGTTCTTAAATGATGACCGATAAATTCACCTAATTCATCTAATTTGAACACATTGTATTTTTTCAAGACTTTTGATATATTCAGCAGTTCAATGAGTTTAACAGCAAATTCATATGAATTTCGAATCGTTTGTTCTACGTCCAAACTTTCAACATCACTTAAGTTTTGTAATGATAAAAACTGATTATCATGCTTGTGTTTATGATGAACAGGAAATTTCAATTGTTTCTCGGTTTCTACCAATTCTTTTGATTTTATGTCATTGAGGATGGTTAACTTTTGTGCTCGACGTAGAAAATCATATACGGTGAAATTCACAGTTGTAGAATATGCACCACTTAGTGCCCTTGTGTTTCGAAAAATCGATTCACAAGATTGCGAATTAAACAGACACAGATTTAAGGCTTCCTTAGGTAGTTGCTGTTGTTAAACAAGTACAATGAGGTATAGAAGACTGTGAGCATTAATTTCAACAGATAAATAAGCCGTACGTGTAATAAAGTATTTTTCTTTACTATTATTGTTTTTTTTTGTTGGACGGAAAGGTTGTGTGTAGCAGTCAAGAGCGCCAAAATCGGCAAACAAAAACGATACATCATGCCGTCTCTAACAATTCAATATCAAAAGACAGAACTTTTTCAAGAAAATTGTGCATTCCGCGTCTTCGATTAACGACCGAGAGAATTTGCGCTAGTTCTCAACATCTAGTTTTTAAGTTTTCCTTTTTTGAATAAAGAAAAAGAACAGAAAATCTTAAACCGAAAATAAAATAAAATAAAGTTGGCTTAAATACACTTAAGTTTAGTCGCAGAAGTTAGTCAAACCGTTGCAGAAGTTGGGACGTCTCTTTAACGATGCCCCCTCACGATGCTCAAGTATGAGATTCAGCGGGTTTAAACGTCAGAGGGTTTCTGGAAAACCCACAATTTTGCAGTTTTACAAGCGCTATCTGATTTATGGTCATTTTCATATATCTACCGTAGTCTAATAGTATAGAAATACATATCAATCGATTCAGTTTTTGATCCTGATTCCGAATATGATACTTTTGTTATTCAGAAGTTGAGTCTTGGTCGAGAAAATTGAGAATTACAGACAGAATTCCGACTTTTCGGCTCTGATTTAGAGAAAATGAATTTTCTCAGCAACGAAACAAAATTCGAAAAAAAGCTCTACATATTTTTAAAGCTGATTACCTGGCCTATCTAATGAATCAAATGTCTAGCCCTCCACACAAAAAACTAGTAGGGTTTTTGAACGAAGGGTCTTGGTTCTTGCCTCATATACATTCCGGGTCTTCCCAAAATTTCCCTTTGTGATTTGGAGACTTGGGAGTACCTTGGCTAGATGCAGTTTTGAATAAGGAATCCAAATATAGTAAGCTGAAGTCGCCATGACACTTTAGAAAAAACCACAAGCCTTTTTCATAAAACGAAAACTTTTCGTGTTTTTGAGACCTTCTCAGTATTTTGAATTACAAAAAGATGTAATATTTTGACTCGGAAGGTGATATTCGTGATCAGCTCGTTGAGTTGAATCCGAATATGTATAATAAAGTCAGAAGAAATTCCACTTGAAGTTTGCATTCGCATCTAGAGACTCTAGCTTCTTACTGGTATCCCCAGTTAATTTAATGTATTCTGGATCTGATCGATTCCACTACACCAGCCATTCCTGGATCTGAGATTCAGTGGCATTACATACAATAAAAATATCGTCGATGTGCCGGAAATGTAGCCCTCTTTTGATGACAACTATTGTTTTCTGCATTGGCCTTTAGAAAAAGTACATGTATACATTCGAAAAGACGAGAGCAAACGGGGAACCCATGGCTCCTCCACGAGTCTGCCGATGGTACACTTTATCGTACACGAAATAATTATTTTGTAGTACAAACTGAGGCATTTTCAGTATTTTTTTAATTGGAACGTATGTAATTTAGGTGAGGTAGGCTTGGTTGAGCATTGGTTCGAGTAAGCCCAAGCTCTTCTGGGATCATTGTATATAGATCCCACACATCTGTTGTTGCGAACGATGTGTCAGTGGTCAACTAGTATTTAGCCCAATTCCTTAAAATTCGGATGATATGTATCCCTTCTTGGTTAGCCGATCCCTTTGTCATCGCGTCGACTAACCGGCGAAGATGTTCTGACAGATGACGCGTTATTACAAGATCGTCCACATTTTATCTATTATAACTTGTGTCCAGTGACATACTGATTCGTTTTCGTTGACGTACATATTTATGTCGAATTCTTTATTTTCAATATAAGATAATTTAACTATTGTTCAAAACTTATATTCAAAATAACTTTTGAATTTTAAGTAATTAAAGAACAGTACTCTTCCTGTGTACCAATGTCGACTAAACAGAGTCAGATTACATCTTTTTGTTCTCAAAATAAAAAACAAAAGATAAATAATGATTCTGATGGAAATTCTGCTTCTGTTGATATTTTATCAAACAATTTAAATGACCTGTAGAGTTCACCATTATAAACAAATAAAGCGAACCGACTTTCAAACCGCTCTCCATGGTGGTTTGGCCGAAAATATGAGCCTACCCTAGACTGGAATCATTCCGCCGCCCATGATCCCGTAACTCAGCCGTTTTTATTTTATATTTCCATCAATTTATTATTGTCATCCAAACGAGTACAGATACTTCGAAACCGATTCAACTTTGAATTTAATATTGAACTTATCATTGTTAATATTAATCTTGAAAATAAACTTAATTAGTAACGGATGGTCCAAAAAGCATTATAGGGTTATTATTTTTAATTATTCTCCTCTTCCTTATAATTAATCGAGCAAATCTTTCAACTAAAGGATAGTTCGTTCAGTTCTTTACAAAACATGTATTGACTGTTCTTATTGGAAAATCCGAACGTGGGAAATGGTATGAGAAATACTGTCACATGTCATTATATGGTGAGCATGTGGTGGATGTAGAACAGGAATAAAGTCCATTGAAAAACGTATACAGGTACGCGTGTACTACTAACAAACAAAAGGTTTTCACGGTTGAATAAATAATACACGCATATGTACTCCGTCGAATTTCCGAAGGAATGTCTGGAAGAATATAGACTTCTTCTATGAAGTCGATACTAGCGCCAAAATGTTTAACATTGCGTAACTGTTGAGCTAACCATTCTGCTTCATGTGTTTTATCAAGTGCTGTTCCTTCTATAATGATACCCTGAGCAGCTTCTTCAACAACATCAGCAACTGTTTTACTCTTGTTTTCACTCAACAGGTAATAAGCAGTCGTAATATCGTGGTTGCGTAGATCGGAAAAGACATGATCAACCTGTTGTGCTAAAGACGAAGATGTTGGAGTAATGAGTGTCACGGGCAGTAAAAATCGTTCTATACGAAATTGAGCAAAAACTCGATATTCGTCTAACGGAATACGAGCAATTAATTCGTCTAATTAATCGAGCAAATCTTTCAACTAAAGGATAGTTCGTTCAGTTCTCTACAAAACACGTATTGACTGTTCTTATTGGAAAATCCGATCGTGGGAAATGGTATGAGAAATACTGTCACATGTCATCATACGGTGAGGATGTGGTGAATGTAGAACAGGAATAAAGTCCATTGAAAAACGTATAC